ATGGCTCACGGGCCCAGCCGGTCTGCGACATGTGGGATCTTCCCGGACCGGGGCACGAACCCGTGTCCCCTGCATCGGCAGGGGGACTCTCAACCACTGCGCCACAAGGGAAGCCCCAGACAGCACGTTTTAATGCATGTAAAATGCTTGATAACATTGAATCAACCTAAAGTCAATTTTGTCTGATTTTGGATCAGTTGCCTCATGGCACAGCTTCACCTTGTCAGTTCAGATCTGAACTGTAGCTGTAAAAAGTAAAACCAGAACTAGAACTGTCTTTCATGCCATAACTAGTTTTTAACTAAGATGAAGTTAAAAACAATCATCTGGCTTTTCAGCATTCCAGTGTGGTTGGAAAGGTCACTGTCTTAAAATTCAACATGATTCTTGAGCAGTGACTTACACATCTGAGCTGCTATTCTTAAATTAATGGTAGAATTTTAAGTATTTCAATGTTCATGGAGTCTTGAGGCTGCTTCAGGGTGGATTGAACCAGAGTGAGGTGGTATTTAGTGGTTTCTGCCCTGGCTTCTATTCAACTTAACATAGTTTGACTTTAGTATTTTTGGCTAATGAAAGTGTGTCTTCTGGGTTATGGTAATCTTAAGCAACTGTGGCTTGAATATGAAACTAGAGAGAAGTTTAATTATTGGCAGATCAGTGACAGTGACAAATTGCTTTTCTTCCTTTCTAGTTATACATGGGAAGCTGTTGATACCAGAAATAACATGCTTTATAAAATCAACATCTGTGGAAATGTGAATATTGCCCAGTGTGGAACATCAAGTGCTGTTTGTATGCACGACTTGAAGACAAACAGCTTTCATTCCGTGGGTAAGTAAAACTACCCTTAAATTACTGGATGTGCAGGATCCCAATTTTGCAAAAATGACTCTATGTATATACAGCTGTCCATACAATTATATATGCTTATGATACATAATATACATTTTATGCTTTATAGGAGTTAAAAGTGGTAACAATTTAAACGTCCAATTTGAGACCAGATTAGGTTACTCCCATCTAGCGGATACTATGCAATCATTGTGAAGAATTACGCACGTTGTTGTTTATTGATATAGAAGGATGTTTTCTCCATGGATCTGCCTCCTCATGTTTTTCTTAAACCCCGTCCTTACTTTTCTCCCTGTTTCACCTCATTTCCTCTAGTACCTAGATCCCTTCCCCCTTATATCTTTCTGCCTTCTTCTGTGGTGGTTTGAGTCTCAGGCAGTCTGTATTCACGTGGGGTCAAAGACGGTCACTGGTTTTGGGCTTACATTAAAAATTAAATAGCCCTAAGGACCGCCCATCCCAGAGGAAAAAGCACAAACCTTTCTTTCCTAGGTAGGGCTCATTTCATTTCCCCCAAAGCCCTCTTTTTTTGGTCAGTATCCCTTTCCTTTGGCAGGGTAATCCAAGTGGTTGACAGCCCTACCAAGTTACATGGAGTGGGAAAGGGGCAGATGCCTAAAGAGACGTAGGGCAGACATAAAAGCAGCCAGTGCCATCCTTGGATGTGATGTCATGGATGTCGGTGGGTGGTGGCCTTTTGACCAAGGCGTTTTCAATGGTGAGGTCTGATGGTGAGGGTCAGTCATGAAGTGGAGACAGCGTGTGACCGGGGACAGTGTAGCAGTGAGAAGAGGGGGAACTCAGTAGGTTTTTGGAGTTGGGAGGGGCAGCTTACTTTGGTAGCTCCATCTCTCATCTTGAATGGAAATTCCTAAGCACAGTTAAAAAGGGCTTTTTAGAAAGTAATGGTTTAGAGTAAGAAGAGCGAGGTCTGGGAGGTCTCCTGGTCAGGTCCAGCGTGTGTTTGATTTCCCTCTCTTCCAGCACGGAGACGGTTTAGATTGAAAACGCTGGTAAGAGGGATTTGCGGCCCTGGGTAGAGATCTGAGAAAGCACCAGGTTGTTCTGAATTCTTGGACCAAATTTTATTACTTTGTGATATACTTAAAAAACTTGGAAATGAGATCACCAGTTTCCTGGTTGGGATCTTTTGACCATTCAGAGAGAGAGGCCACAAGTGGGCCTGTTGGCCAGTGTTACTTAGGTTTTCAGAAAGAGGAAAAGTAGTTTTCCTCTTGACTTTATTATAATACTTGGCTATAGCATTTTTGGCTAATGAAAGTGTGTCTTCTAGTTTGTGGTAGTGCAGTATAGTGTAATGTAACATAGATGTATACCAGATGCACACAAGTCACTAGGAGGGTGATTTGTGAGGTTGGCACAAAATTTGAGAATGACCAAGTCAGGTCAACTTTGAAGGCCAGGCAGGAGAGTTGATGTTTTCTGGGGTAGGTAGTGGATCTGTTATAGGTTCTTTGTGATGATAATGGGGGAGGTAATCTGATAGAATGTGTTTTTAGAAAGCTGGGCCTGATGGACTAGGAAAGGTTGGTTAAAAGGGAGAGTTAAAAAGATGAATTGTTACTAGTTGATGATGATATAAACCAGCTGTTTCTAATCTCATTTTACCCCCAGACACACATGACATACTTTTCCTAGGGCCTCAAACTCCCTGAGGGAGAGAATGGTATGCTAGATGATGTGTACTTTCAGCACTAGTGGTTATTACCCTGTCCTCCAACTCAGGAAAGTACATTACTATGAAGGGATGAGAGTGACATTAACATTATCACAGATAATCTTGAATCTGATCTAATTTCGCTAATTGGTGTTGTACGGTAGAAATAACTAAATTTGTTATTGTAAATTTAGTTTTATAACTAAATAATAACGAAATTTGGTGTGCACTTACATGCCAGGTGTTACGTTTTTAAGTAGACTATCTCATTTAATTCATTCAACAACTTTTGCAGTAGATGACCTCATTTCCCTCATTTTATAAATGAAGAAACTGAAGCATTAAATGGATAAGCAGCTTGCCAGAGGTTGCATGGTTATGGATTTGAATGCTGGCAGGCCAGCTGCAGAGCCTGTCGATTTATTCAGGGTTCTTGTTCTGCTAGTCAGAGGGCCACATCAGACAGTTGTAGAGCTAATATGGGAACTACGGTGGGTAACCTGAACTCCTGGCTCTTAGAGGACAGCTGGAAACTAACATGAACTTCCTAGAAAGGAAAAAAAATGTGAATTTTGAAAATAGCCACAAAAACTGGAGCAGATCAGAGGAACAGAAGAGTTAGTTTAACAATAGATCGAAATACATACGAGAACTTAACGTATAACCTAAAATTTGTATGTAATTAAGCTGTTTATCTGTTAGGAAACAACGTTAGACCTCTCCTTCATATTGTGTAACAGAAATTATGGATTAGTTAAAATTAAAAGTAAAAAGACAGTAGAACATTGGGAAAAACCTAGTAACATAGAAACTTAATCTGGAGGAGGTAGGAATTTCTCTTAATAAATGGTAAGAAAAACAACCCAGTAGAAAAATGGCAAAGTCTAAGAACAGGCAATTCACAAAAGAAGAAATCCAGATGGTCAATTCAGCTTCATTAGTAAGCCAGGCGTAAATGCAAATCAAAGCAATAATGAAATCTAGTTTTCCTTCAGTCACATTGGCAGAAGTTTAAATGGTTGAATCGTGGACTACTGGCAAGGAGCCTAGAAGCGGGCACATTCATACATTGCTATAGGAAGATGGTTGTCTGTAACCCTTCTGGGAAGATCGTTGTTGATGTGAGTTTTATAGTGCCCGCAAGGGCAGTTTTTGTACTTAGAAACAAATATTAAGACCTCAACTTTGGTTTAAATAATATTACATTATTTTTGATAAAAAATCCTGTGTTCTTCCTTAGGCCAAGGATATTATATTGTTACATGTATAAATCTAACAGAGTTTAGCAGGCATTTATATGGGGTCTGTGAACAACCATTTGGTTCCATTTACAACCGAGTTGAATCATCTTCACATTTTAAAGTGATTTATACATTTTATATATTTGATTTCTCTTTAAAGTACCTCAGATGTCTGATCTGACAGTAAAAACTTAAGGACTAATAATAATTCTTAAAAATTTAATAGTTTAAATGTAGAAATATGATAAACCTGAAGTTCTCTTAGTTGTTCAAATACTGTCACAATTCTAAATCAATTGCTTAGTTATAACCTTTGAATTAGTTATAAAATTAGACATTGCAAGTATGTAAAAATACTGAATATGTTCACATTCCTCCTAAAATCCTAAATATTAATACCATGGTTTTCATTTAATTAATCTTTCTGGGGGTTAAAAACTAGGTGTCCACTTCATGAAGGCTGTTACCAGCCCATTTAACCGAGGTAGCAGACCCACTAAGGAAGGATGTTACGTGAGGTTACTCGCCACCAAAGCCTGGGATGCTGCCTGGCTTTTTTATAGGTGACCTGGGTGTAGGGTAGAGTGAATTCAGTTGTAGTTGCTGGTCATGTGACTTCATTTACTCTTAAGGAGCCTGACCCTTGACTTCAGGTGATACTTACTGTCTGATTCTTGTGTGCACTCACAGAAATATACAACAGCTATCCAGGTTGATCGCTAGATTCAATTTTGTGTCTCTATTAACATGTGAAAATACCTTTTCCTCTTGTATCTTTAATTTTCTAAAATTATATAATTCTGTTGGATATTTAAGATGATATCTGGTTGATTTTTAGGTATAACTCATGTTTTCATCTCATTTATAGTCTCTCCTGGTTGTCTGGCATTGTCCATCAAATTTAAAAACTTAGATTCCTGTAATGTACTTTTGTAATCTTACCAACAATGGAGGAATTAATACTGTACATAGATTTTTGTACAAAAAAATTACTTGGAGCATTGGTAATGGTGGCAAATATGCTGAAACAGCCTAACTATGGGGATAGTTCAATAAATGTTAGTGTATTTTATTGATTTACTTGGTTAAATCACACCATGACAGATATATGTATATATAAATATTTTTAAAACAGCCAACACTTAATATTCATTTATTTATTTGTAACAAATATTTGAATCAGTCACCAAAACAGACAAAGATCCCTTTTCTCATGGAGCTTACATTCTAGTGGAGTGGGAGACAGACAAGAACAAACAATGGCTCAGTGGTATATCAGACTGTGATGAATGCTGTAAAAAAGAAAAGGAAGGGGTGTCAGGAGTGCTGGGGGTCTCAGGAGTGTGTGTTCAGGAATATTCAGTGGGGTAAGTGTCGCTGAGAAAGTGACATTTGAGCAAAGACTTGAAGCCGAAAAGCCGTGGGTCACGTGGCTCTGGGGGAACAGCCAGTGCAGGGGACAAGGGGAGGGGAGTGTCTGGTAGAAGCGAGAGTAGAAATCTCAGAGTGTTCATATAAAGAGGAGCGGAAAAGTGAGGCAGTAGCTGTAGGGGAAAGTTGGACAGAGGGAAGGGACTCTTAATTTGGTGAAATAACACCTGAACAGCACACGTCGAAAGACACGGTACAATAGAGAAGGGAGAGTGGACAGCGAGGGAGGCCTTCCTTGCTGGAGCACATCGGAGACTAGCACGGAGAGGGCTGGCGGCCTGGCTGGCAGGCTCTGAGCGAGGTGCTGAGGAGGCCCGGCGGCCGCGAGCTGGGCCCCGAGGCAGCAGGTGGAGGCGCGATTGCCAGGCTCGGCAGCCTCAGCGAGGCCGGGTTGCGAGCTCGGCTGGGCTCGGCCGCGGACGGCGAGGGTGGCAGGCGAGGCCTGGCAGGCCCGGAGCGCGGCCTGGTCGGGCGGGCTCTGGTGAGCGCGGCCTGGCGCGCAGGGTCTGCAGGACCCGGCGCGGCCTGGCTGGCAGCGCGTGGCCGGGGCTGGCGGGCGCGGGCGAGTGCGGCCGGGCGGGCCTGGCGCGCAGGGTCGGGAGGACCCGGCGCGGCCTGGGCTGCGGAGCGTGGCCGGGTCTGGCGGGTGCGGGCGAGCGTGGCCTGTCGGGCGCCCTGGCGCGCAGGGTCGGGAGGACCTCCCGGGGCCTGGCCGGTAGCGCGTGGCCGGGTCTGGCGGGTCCGGGTGAGCGCGGCCTGGTCTGGCGGGCCCGGGCGAGCGCGGCCTGGAGGGCCCGGCCTGGAGAGCGCTGTCTGGAGGGCCCAGCGCGTGGTCTGGCGGACCCGGCGCGGTCTGGTGGCCCCGGCCTGGAGACCGCGGTCGGGCGGACCCGCCACGGCCTGGCGGGCTCGGCAAGTGCGGTTTGGTCTGGCGGGCGCAGGTGAGCGCGGCCCGGTCTGGGGGGCCCGGCCTGGAGGCCGCGGTCGGGCGGGTCTGGCGGGCCCGGGGTGCGTGGCCTGGTCTGGAGGACCCGGCCTGGAGAGCGCGGCCTGGAGGACCCGGCGCGGTCTAGTCTGCTGGGGCCTCGCCAGTGCGGTCTGGTCTGGTGGGCCCGGGCGAGCTCGGCCTGGTCTGGCGGACCCGGCCTGGAGAGCGCGGTCTGGATGACCCGGCGCGGCCTGGCGGGCCCTGGTGAGCGCGGCCTGGCGGGCCCGGGGCGCAGGGTCTGAAGGACCCGGCGCGGCCTGGCTTGGAGAGCTCGGCCTGGTCTGGCGGACCCGGCCTGGAGAGCGCCGTCTGGTGGGCCCGGCGCGCGTGGCCTGGTTTGGAGGACCCGGCCTGGAGACCGTGGTCTGGAGGACCTGGCGCGCACGGCCTGGCGCGGTCCGGAGGACCCGGCGCGATCTGGCGGGCCCGGCGAGCTCGGGCTGGTCTGGCGGGCCCAGCGAGCGCGGCCTGGTCTGGCGGACCCGGCCTGGAGAGCGTGGTCTGGAGGACCTGGCGCGCGCGGTCTGGTGGGCCTGGCGCGGTCCGGCGGGCCCAGCGCGCGGTCTGGAGGACCCAGCGCGCGGTCTGGCGGGCCCAGCGCGCGGTCTGGAGGACCCAGCGCGGTCTGGCGGACCCGGCCTGGAGAGCGCGGTCTGGAGGACCCGGCGCGGCCTGGCGGGCCTGGGCGAGCGCGGCCTGGTCTGGCGGGCCCGGCCTGGAGACCGCGGTCTGACGGGCCTGGGGCGCGCAGCCTGGTCTGGAGGACCCGGCCTGGAGAGCGCGGCCTGGAGGACCCGGCGCGGTCTGGTCTGGTGGGGCCCCGCCAGTGCGGTCTGGTCTGGCGGACCCGGCCTGGAGAGCGTGGTCTGGCGGGCCCGGCGCGCGGTCTGGAGGACCCGGCGCGGTCTGGCGGGCCCGGCGAGCGCGGCCCAGCCCATTTGGCGCCGTCCTCGGGAGCTGGCCGTGGGCCTGGCGTGCTGGCCGCCGCCCCGCAGTCCTCGCCCGGCCCTCGTCCGGGGAGGACGGCCAGGCTGGCCGGTTGCCGCGGTTGTCTGCCGCGGTTCACTGCCGCGGTGCACTGCGGCCTCTCTCCGAGTGCCGGGGTCGGCAGTCGGTCCTGGCCGCCAGGTGGAGCGGGCAGAGGAAGAAGGCAAGGTGGACAGGCGGGCGCGATGCCGATGGGGCCTGACGCTGAGGGATGCCGGTGCCCCGCGCCGCGGTGGCAGAGGTCGGCGGGATCCCTCCCGGCCTGAGGCCAGAGCCCTCCTCGTTTTCTTTTCAGGGCGAACCCAGCAGTTATGAGGAGCCCCCAGGAGCTCTGGGCACAGGGCCGGATGGGGCCGCCGTGTGGGGGGACAGGAGGCGTGGGGGGAGGGTCTTCAAGGTGGGGGACCCGCAGCCTGGGAGCGCCCCCTCCTGGCCGCTGCGCGCGCCGCTTCCCACCGGCCTAGCCCGCCCTCCGTGTCTCCCGGAGCGCAGCGCTGCAGGGCGCGTCGAAGCCCCACCCTCTCTCCCGGTCCCAGGCACGCCCACTGTGGGCGGGGCTACGGGCGCTGTCCTCGGTCCCGCAGCCGCCTCAGGGCTTTTGCGCCTATGCAGTCGAAAAAAGATTTTCAAACAGAACCCTGGAGTTTCTGGCAGAGAAGGACGATTCTGGCAGGCCGAATCACGTAGGCAGGCAGGAGAAAGAACCGCTGTACTGTTGTTGGTATGGTGCTGTGGGTCTGAAAGCCATTATCCGCTCTGCATTGGCGTCTTAATTTTTACCCTTTCTACTGTCTGTCTCTTTTAAAGATCTCTGGTGTATTTATCAAATTGGACCAGTTGTAATCCTGAGGTCATGACACGCACTCATCATCAATCTGTGAGGTCACCTCTTTCTGTTTTTTAATTAGTTGTTTTGGATAGTGCAACGAACCCCTTCTCTAACAAAATCCAGGACCTTGACAATAACCACTGTCTGTGTGGTCTTCCTCCTCCTGTTTCTCTTCACTGGAGGTAATCATTCGCTCACATCCTGTACTTGTGAGCGAATGATTTTCTTTCTTCTTTCCTCTCTTTCCCAGAGTCTGTCTGTCTTTCTCTCTTTCTCAAATGTCTGGCTGTATGTGGTGTTTTCTACTTAATAGAAAGTATGTATCACGCTGTGTGTAATTTTTTGGGACTTAAGTGGTAACAATATTATATTGTTGAAAGACAACTATATTATCTTTCACTGTGATTTATTCCTCTGATTCCTACGTAATATTGTAGATCTACCAAAGTTAATTTGTCCACTCTTCTCCTGATGGGCATTTGAGTTGTTTCCAGGCTTTTAAGAAATTAATTAATTAGGTTGCGCTGGGTCTTAGTCGCGGCATGCGGGATCTAGTTCCCTGACCAGGGATAGGACCTGGGCCTCCTGTGTTGGGAGCGCAGGGTCTTAACCACTGGACCACCAGGGGAGTCCCTGTTTCCAGGTTTTTGCTAGTGTGAAGAACACAAGATGGTCTTTCACATGTTTCTTTTCATGTATACGTCTATGGCTTTTGCTCATGTATTTATCTAAGGTTGAGTAGCTAGGCCGTAGGGTACATGAATGTTCAATGATAGGACACAGTGCCGTGCCCACTTATGTAGTGGTTGTACCAGTTCACACTTCCGCCAGCAGCACAGGAGAGCTCTGGATCTTCTCTTCTCCCACATTTGGTGTTTAATTTTTGTCGATAGAATGGCTGGAATTGGTAAGCCGCATGGTCTTGATCACCAGTGATGTTGAACATCTCTTTATTTATGAAGGTGTTTTTCTCCTGTCTGATCATGTCTTGTCCATTTTATATTGAGTTATCTATTGCATGTGATCAATTCTTTCCCTCTATAAGCTTTAGAATTTTATCTTTGCCTTTGATATTAGAATCACCATACTGTGACTAGGTGTGGGTTTTCCCTTCTCTCTCCTCTCAGCGTGTTCTCTCTGTCATACGTCGTTCATTTTATTTCCTAGAATTATAAAAAAACTTCTTCTGTTTTTGTGTGTGAGTATGTATCTTCTTGATGCTAGTTCTTTGCCAGCTCTTTGTATCTCCTAGTTTATAACTTGTTCTAAACTTTTTTAAGCTATATTTTAAAAATAGCTTAAATAGTTTTCCTTAAGCTACTTTCTCATGAATATAAACTTTTTAATAAGCCACAGTTATTATTTTTTTTTGTAGTTAATGCTTTTGAGTCTTCAGTATTTCCCTACATTAAGATCTAAAAGATAAGTAGCTTTTACTGAGTTAAAATTTGGTTTCTGATGTTTACATCTTTTAATCCATTTAGAGTTGATTTTTGTATACAGTGGTAGGTAGGGATTCAGTTTTTATCCTTTTTCCTGTATGGATTGCCATTTTGTTTCCAGTTTCATTTATTGAACAGTCTCTTTGCTCACTGACCTGATATGTTACTTCTATTGTGTATCAAAGTTTGACTCATAGATATGTCTGTGTGCTCTCTGTTCTGGTGTCTTGATCTTTGTTACAGTCTGTTCGTCAGTTATTTGTTCCTGTGCCAACTACCATCATATTGATATTATGGAGACTTTTTATTGCAATAATATCCCAGGCAGACTGAGAAGTGATCACCGTACTTGTGGACCATTTTAAAGAATTTTGATTCTATAGCATGTATGATGGGAAGTTATTGAAGAATTTCAGCAGCCAAGCTACATATTCTGATTTATGTTTTTGGTGCAAGATGGATGAGGAAGGGAGGATGGTGAGGGACGAGACAGGAGTTGGAGGCAAGGGGCCCAATTAGGAGGCTGTTGCCAGAATACAGGTGAGAGGTGACAGTGGTTTCAGTAGTTGTAGAGAAGGAGAGAGGTGGACGCATTTGAGGTGCAGGTAGAAGCAATACAACTTTCTGATGTGACAGGTGAGAGGAAGATAGGACTGAGTGCAATGTGTTTGGGGCTGTGTGGGGATGCCATTCCTGAGACGGAGAATTCTGGGGAAGGGGCTGTTTGTAAGTTTGTAAGCTTTCAAGTGAATTATAGTGCCATTTTTAATTTGCTGATGCTTGGAAATAGCTCTGTGGTTATGAATGTTTTATGGCTCGTTCATACTCTTTTCTTTCCGAATAGGTGACTCTCATTTGAAGAACGCAACCAGATCCCTCCTGGAATTCAGCACCACGGTGAGCTGCGGGCAGCAGAGCACAAATCACAGAGTGCAGAGTAGCATCACCTTCTTATGTGGGAAAACCTTGGTGAGTCCACACAGAGGCACTTTATAATCTTTCTTTTAAAAACGTTTGTCCTTGGGGCGTTCTTGCTGTAGCGGGTATTCTAGGACGACCAAGGGAGCAAAATTATAAAAACACGAGCAAACAGATGAACAGGAACCCCAGCCTAATTACCGTCACCATTAAGAACCAATAAGTAAACAAATCCTAAGCCTATAGTTAACAACGTTTAAGTGAAACTTGACCCACATCCTGTGTAAAACTCCAGTGTAAAGGTTAGGGTGTTAAACTCAAAGCACTGTTGAATGTTTATGTTGCAGCATAAATTTTCTTTTTTTTCTTTCTGAAACGCCTTCTCGCAGCATTTTATTTTGATAATTGTCAAGGCAGTGTGTTTATTGTTTTAAACATTTGTCCTCATTTACATTAAATGGAACATATTAACATCTGTCTAGAAGAAGCCTTGGCCAGTGGGTAATGGGGTTCCCAGCTTCTGGGGTGTCACTAGTGTTGAAATGGGACCTCACTGTCGAAAGCGTGATGCCGGTGTTCTCCCTGTCTGCGTATTGCATGTGATTTTTTGATTTTAATCTTTGGTATTTGGAAAGGGGCTCTCAGCAAATGGTTGCTAGCTTTCAGCAAAAGCAATTTGTGTACAAACCCTGTGAATGTTCTCTAATCAGAGTAAGAATCCAAGTGTTCAGAAAAATCAGGTTGAGTGAAGCTTAGGCGGTTACCAGATTGCTTTGAAGTATCATTTTTAGAATTTGGTGCTGTGACTGTTGCATTTTCAGGGCCATACTGTCTTGTCTGGAGAACTTTAAAAATAGAACTTATGTTGTTAATTTTGGACCAGCCTATCAGTTGCACGGTTGCCCATGTTGAAACCTTGGGAAAAAAATCTGTTTGCAGTGGTATGAAATCTGGAGGTCTGAGTTACAGAATAAGCTAGCTTGTTGTTTGAATTTTAACTAAATTGTCTTCAAGAATTCTGTGTTCACCCTGTGAGAACCAGAATTCACAGAACTCTTCAGATTTGCACATGGGCGCCCAGAGGTAAGTCCCCGCCACGTCTCATCAACCAGCCACACTGTGGCTGACCAGTTCGGAGTCCTCGCTGGTCCCCTTCTGCTGGGAGGGGCCGCCCTCAAGTGCAGGGGCGTCTGAGCAAGGCTGGTGTACGAGCTCGGTCAGGTCCAGATGGGCCTCCTCCCGCGGCTTCCAGGAAGCATGAGGTCACATTTTCTGGCTTTGGTTTTGTTGGCTTTTGGTTCAGAGAACATTTGGAGTTTGAGAGTGGGAGGTCAGTGAAGATTACTTCCCATGAGCTTACTGTACTTGCATAGTTGGGGCAGTAGAACAGTTTTGGATCATTTATAGCCAAATTCCAACATGATTTTATGAAGCTTTTGTCTCAGAAGTTTTGGGTTTGGGAACTTCTTGATGACCTTGTTTAACTAAAACAGTTGTGTGTCATTCCCCACCTCCCGCTGCTAGTTTAAGATTTTTCGTTAGCCTTCACTGTTTCTGACTTAAAAAAAAAAAAAAGGAACACTTTACAATATGCAGTATGCTAACTTATTTTTCCTTTTTTTTTTTTTTTTTTTTAAAAAAAGGGAACTCCCGAATTTGTAACTGCAACAGATTGTGTGCATTACTTCGAGTGGAGGACAACTGCAGCCTGCAAGAAAGACGTTTTTAAAGCGAATAAAGAGGTAACAAGGGCCCTTCAAGGTTACATGCTTGTGCAATACATCCTGGGACCTTTAGGATTTGAAGTACTGGTGCCAACTTTTT